GCTTTGAGCACACGAGACTTGCCTGTCTGCAACACTCCCAACGCCTGATCAGCCCATCATTTCAACAGCCTAATAATAGAAAACTTCCACTATTCTAAAACAAAGGCAAGGAAAACCCAAAAACGCATGCAAAAATCTCCAACCTCAGGCCTCCAGTTGAAAGCCTCCTTCATTTAAGCTACGCAACAATAGCCAAGGTAGGAGCATTAGTGGAATACAGATTCTCTGTAGCCTAAAATCTATGGCATATATTATTTTACTACAGTAGTGCAATAAAATAAACATTTTTATAGTTTTAATTAGGTTTGTAAAATTGATTTAAGACTTAACAAGGAAGTTATAGAGAAGCAGAAACTAGCCTTACAAAAATTAAAATGTTTTCTGTCTTGGGAAGTTTTCTTGTTCTCCCCTCTTCAAACTCCACACAATGTTCTGAAAGCTTGGGGTGGATATAAAGGGTGCACAAGCACAGATCACAGTGCTACTCGCCAAGTAGTAAGACAAGGTCATTCATTTCTTCACATCATGCTTCATTTTTATCAGTCACATTTCTTCAAGCACTTTTTTTAATGTGCAAGGAAAACTACTGTAGAAGTAAGTACGACCTTTGCAGGAATCAGTAGAGGAAAACAAAAGCAACTGATTAGCTGCTCCCACGGAACAGAAGATACCAAGAGGAGCTGTGAATAAACAATACCTCTAATTTAATTCTGCAGTTACTTGGCTTCTTAAAGCACCCATGCCAGAAAGATTCAGTAGAGAAAAAGTGCTTGTTAGAAAATAACTTTGCATTGTAAGAATTTACAAGGAGAGTCCAAACAGCTGCTCCTCACATGACATACCAACTACCACCTCAGATTTCTTCTGGCAGCTATCGCGTCCCCTCTTCCTCCTCAGCGCACTGCTGATTAATCAAGAGATTTGAGGTTGGTATCCACCATAAATCAAGCTAATAAGGGGGTATTTCCTTTAATAAAAGACAGTATGTAACACGGAGAAGGAAGAGAAACAGAACACTGCAAGCACCCTGATTTCTACTCTGACTTGTCAGAAGCAGGCAGGCGCTTTCTTAAGCTTTCACCGTGCTTGAGCTCAACACCTTTTCTCACCTACTTCCCCTACTTTCCTAGGCCATGAAGGAATCCTGCTCTTTCTGCCTTCTCCTCAGAAGGGAATCACTCCCCCAAAGCCTAGATGTAGAAGCAAAAGGGTAGATTGGGAAGGAGGGAAAAAAGCAGCTTTAAAAAACTCCTGTCTTACTGCAAAACCTAAACACTTTGGGGCAAAGATCCTCTCTCTCTCTCTCTCTCTCTCTCTCTCTCTCTCTCTCTCTCTCTCAAAAATGTAGGGATGGCACCACATGAGGAAGCAGCTAATTTAATTAATTCATTAGCCATTTTATTTCTTTATAGAGGTTCTATTTTTTTTCTTTTTGAATCCACTGGACTTTTCAAAAATATTAACACACCAAAGTTGTAATAGAAAGTGGGATGTTAGATGCAATTCACAGAGTATTTTATAAAATATGCTTTTTTTAAAGATTTTAAGGGGGTAATGGGGAGACTTTTGATTAGTTAGACTTTTGATTATGCTGGATTTCATATATTATAAATAGTCAATTACATTGATAGTTGATTGTTGGGAGCATTTTGTATTTTCATTAAATTCATCCAATTTTTTTTTTAAATGCCTTTTGACTATTGAGGGAATTTCTGAATCTGCTTTTTAAGCCACAGACGCTTAGAGGGGCCAGGGCACCGTCAGGAATGGAAGCAGGACAGCTCCAGCACCAGATCTGAACTACCTGAACAGCAGAGGACATCTTGTGCTCAGGCAGCAGAACTGCAGCGATTGCTTCTGCTCAGAGTAAAACACACAACGCGCTGCATGCACAAGAACGACAAATGGGTGAATTAGTATCTACAGCAGATCCCGGCTAATACTATAGAAATAGAACAGGAAAATTCTCTCCATGTTAACGCTCAGAGCAGTATCTATAAAGCAGTACTTGTTTGTATATGGTGCAGAGCTAAGGGTTTTTTTAAAAAGAATTAAGTGGTTCAGGAAAGCAACCTGCACAATCTTCTCCTATTCTTTGTTCTACACTAAGTACATCCAAGCTGGATGCCACAGAAGGGAGCTCCCATTCCTGCTCAGGGGTCCATAAATGGGGCAGCAAGGATTGTGAGGCATTGGAGAGCTTTATTTGAAGAGCCAAATCAGCCAGTTAGACTTCCAGAACAGTTCAAATAAAACTAAAAAATAATAATAAATTTATTCTTTCAATAGAGTTTCTCCCATCATAAGCAGTGTAGATCCTAATATTTTTTTTCCACTGTATATGTAGACGTCTCCAACATCAGACTCTGGAAGATTAGGGGCAACTGCCTTATTTCTCCACCTCCATTTTCAATCTGACAACCTCTAGCTATTCATATGGAATATACAGTAGTTGTTACTAGGTTACATTTCACAGTTGATGGTTTTAATGGTTTTGCAACCATTAGATGCACATTTTCAAGCATCAAAAACTAGACTTTGCTACCTAACATTTTACAAAGATAATAAAAGTTAATGAGTGCTCATGATCTGACAAGACATCTGCTCTTTTCTTTCCGAGATAAAACACTCACCCTGCCTTGTTCTGGCACAGTGGGAGAGAGCAAACACAAACCAATTCATCATTCCAAACTATAAGCTGTATTAAGATATAGTTTCTCAACAGGCTTGCACACCCTGTTGTTAACAGGACGCAGGTGTCCTGAAAACTGTCTTTTCAGCGTAGTAATTAAATCCTGCCAACATCACGTGGTCAAATGCAGGAGGCAGCACTGCTTAGCTGTTTTAAGAGAAAAAAAAAATAATGTTCAAAACTAGCAATAACAGGGATACCAGACTCTTGGTATCACAGCAACAAAAGCCACATACCCATTTTCTACATTTTTTTTCATCCTGATTATTCATTACATGAGTATTTTAAAAAGATTTCATTCTGAGCTATCAAAGAAATATTTTTTAAACTCAAGTTTACAAGATGTATGACTAACATCAAGATGGGGGAGGGAAAGGCAAACTCTTCAAACACCATTTTGAGGTTAACACAGGGAGATCTGTGATAGAAAACTGTATAGAACCTTAAAGCCCATTGCAGTCAGCTCCATGTCAAAAACAGTTGCCAAACATTTTAGGAATATTGTCCGAGACCATTTTCTGCTTGCTGATTGATATTTATGCCACCTGCAGTATTATATATTGATCCTACCAATATAAATACCAGTAGTTTTTCACAATACAGGGCTGCCACCTTTTTCATATAAAAATCTTAACTCCACTGATACCAAATCATTGAAGATGGATAGTATCTCAGTGTGGAAGAAATACAATTAAAAAAGATACTTTTCCCATTCTTCTGTAGGGAGAATTGTAGCTTCGTGTCTGGATGTCTAGAGCCACATGATGATGTGGGGATGATGTAGAGCACATGATGCTGAGGGATTTCCCATACTCTGGCACGCAGAAAGGTATGCGGTACTTTACCCTTCTGCAGGATGACCTAAAAGACTGAATTAACTTCTGTGGACATCATCCCATGCCTTTGACCTGCTAAAACACTGCTAATATCAAGACAATTCAAATATATAATAAAAGATAGCTCAGATTCGTCATCACTCAACTGTAGTTCTTTTGAAATGAAAAACAACCCCCCACACACAGCTAAACCAGGTAAACGGTCTCCCTCAGCTTCCCAGAGGAGGCCTCTGGGCTGACCTGTTGGAAGAGCTTGTGCTCTCCTTTAGTTGTGGTCCTTAAGATGTCAGGCAGTGGTCTGCAAACACAGCCTGAGAATTAAAACCAACATTTATGCATGTGAGCAGAACTGGAGGAAAATAAGGCTACTAAGTCTATGCTCAAAGTTTAGCCTAGCAGAAAACCACCATGGCAACACCGAATCAGATGCTCCACAGATTTCTCTCCTCCATCCCCAGGGACTTTATGTGAGCTTGAGATTAAAAATAAATGAACTTGAGAAAACAGCACAACCAAGCAGCTTAAGACAGACCAGATGGCTAACTTGAGCTACACCTGCATTAGCAGCTACCGTAGGAAGACAGAGGGGTTCTGCAGAAAGTAAAATACTTAAAATCTTAAGCAAGGGTTCACTTAAGGTTATACTAACTGCTCCAATCATCACTTCAGTTATATTCTCAGATATTATTAGACGCTCATAGACCAGTGGTTGGTACATTTTGGAGCATATTTTTCCTGTTTAGTTTCACCTGGAAAGAATCCAGTTTGCATTCTCTGATGCAAAGCACAACAAGCACAGATGAGCAGATTTAAAAATTTTAAAAGTCTGAACAAAAATACTAATGTAGACTCACCACAGCTCCATAAATGATAGTTCTGCAACTTATCCCAACACATGCAGCTACTTGTCACTTACAGAATCAAAATGCATGCAGGTGAGTTACTACTGTGCAGTTTTTACATATTACCTTAGTAATATGTTTTAACTCTGTATGAATTTTGACATGAGATTCTCAAAATGACAGTCCTGTTAACCACTCAGTATGTGCAAATTCCTCCATTGTACATTTATGCTTTACTTGTTTAACTTTTCCAGTGCCCACTCAGTTGCTGTTTGTACACAAATTTAAGTTATTAGTAAGATGACTAAAGTCCACTACTCACAAACTTGTGACATTTGTAGTCTGGTAAAAATATTAAAATTTAATTATACCTTTTGAACATTCAATTATGGCAAGGAAAGGGCATCCAAAGGCATTCAAGTAACAAACAAACAGATATAGATTTTAATATTTACAATTTTTAAACTGCAAACTGACTATAAAGTCACAAATACTTTAAATATTTAATAGAATATAGTGTAAATTCTAATATAAATTAGATGCTTCATCTGTTATTTTTTCCAGTGACAATAGTCTAATTTTTACAATATTATATACATAAAAATACCAAAATGTTAAAAAAATTTCTGCTACTGTGTAAAGAATGGAAAATACATCAGATTTGTCTTACTGTACAATACCCAAATTGAAGTTTTATAGTATTCTCTGCAAAAATAAACGGCACTTTCACATGCAGCAAGGCATAAAGTACAAGTCCATCCATTAGTAGTATACCATTTGAATACAAAATAAAACACAAATGTCATTCATCCACATAGCTGAAATTGAAATCCTTCTAAAGTCTTATTTTCAGCAAACCTTCTAATGAAGTAATATGAAAAGGAATGTAAACTGATTTCCATATAGAACATAAAAAAGAAAAAAAAAAAGAAAAAAAAAAGAAAATACAGCATACTCAGAAATTTAAGTCACTTGGTCAACACATAATGGACAGGAAGAGTTGATGATCCTTTACGTATTTTAAAAGGCAGCTCTGCCAAAGGGCTGAAGCATCTAAGTTACTTTCCTTCTGACAGTTTCTGCATTTCCTTCTGCCACTTCTGAGGTACATCCGTAGCCAGATGCATTTTCCTGCAGCTCCTCATGCCATTGTGTAACCATAGCTTCCACAGTGCAACGCTACAAGAAGCCTGTCCTTAAGGATTTCTTTGCTTGGGTATTCAGGTAACTTGAGCATGTTGATACTGAAAAGCAAGGAAAAAAAAAAATCAGCAAGAAATTTAACCAAATTTTCTGATTGTATGAGGTAATTAACATGAAAGCGTTCACTCAGATTTGTATTCTGATCAGCAAATACTGAAGACACCAGATTTATGTAAAAAAAAGAAAAATCCTTCATTACTGTACTATTTTGTATTCAAATATAATGCAGGAAAATAAGTTTATTTCACTTTAATAAAATGTAATATATTAAGCATTGGGATTCTCTTAACAATCACACTGCCTTTAGTTAAACAAATACTAAGCAGAAAGCAGAAAACAAATGACTGAACATAATACAACTATTTTCAAGTTAAAACTATTGCTTTTATGGTGACTAGCAGATATTCACCAAACTGAGCAGGCTGATCTTTTTTATTGGCTTTTTAGTGAAAGCATACAAAAGAAATTTTTTTTTTTACTATTAGATAAAAAACTTATTTTTAATGTATCTAAATTAGACTAATGAACATACCAGGTACTTGACGTTGGTAAAAGATTTGGAGTATACGGCACAGCTGCAATTGTAAAATTTTGCAATCCACTGCCACCCATTATATGGGCAAAGCCACCATGAGGTACCCTGGAACTAAGAATATTTGCATAAATTAGACCATTATAAAAATAAGCTAAGCCATATATCTTTTACACCATACATATCTCTCACCACTACATGTAATCAATTACCAGTGCTTTTTACAAAGGTTCTCCTTTTGTCATCAGTATTAAAATTCTCTTTGCCTAAATGCATTCAATTCTCTTCCTGAACAATGCACAGGTCTATGTAGATTAGACATCAAATTGTTTGAACACCACTTCAGAGAATTTTGTTTGTAAAAAACACTCATTTCTACTAGTTTTCATAAGAGAAGAATTTCTGTTTAGGCAAATACATATGACTATCTACAGCTTAAGAAATCCTGCATTGTAACAAGTTATTTTTCCCATTACTATTTGCAGGACATCTGATTAAAGTGGTTTAGACATCTCTTTTCACTGAGTACTTAAGACCAAGTGCCCCATGTTTTTAACAGTAACATCATTACATCAATCACATCATCACGGAGTGATGACCTATGGCAAAGCTGCAACGCCCTAAAGAAGTGCTATCAGTGCCATGAGTGCATGCTCACAATAACCTACAAACAGTAAAATAAGCCATAACACAGAACACATTCGTTAAAAGAGCCTATGTTATTTAAGGATAACCGGAAGATTAAATGGACACAGAACCTAGAGTCTTCACAATGCCTCCCTATAACTTCATATAATAGAAACTGATACAATAAAAATCAAAAATATTATATAATATTCATTTACATTTCTACATATTGTAAGGAAAGACACATTATCAGCACAACCTTCACAGAAAACATCAGGATCTAATGAAAGGAAAAGACCCAGGAAAGCTGAACTCGTGTCACCAACAGGCTCAGCAGCAAAGCAGGCCGTGAGCCAGGGGCTGCCAACACAGCGAGGGAGGTCACCCCCCTGCCCTCTGTTTTACTTCCCTAAAATCTGAACGAGCTGTTAGAATACTCATTTACAGGTGCCCACAGTAAAGGCCATGCTCCCATACTAGGGAAAACAAAGCCACTCCAAAAAGCAGAAGCAAGAAGAGGAGAAGGAACTAGAAAAGAAGAATGAAGCAACACTTCCACTCACAGTAAAGCTAGTTGATAAAAAAGATGATGATTAAGGGGGTTGCTATTGCACGTCCTCCCCACTCTTCCTCACTGTATGTGAAGGTGCTGAGTTCACAACACCACCTTCCAAGCGCAGCTTTAATCGACAGTTGTTGGGGGGCTTTCAGCTGCCCCCTATTATTGTAGCAACCTCAAGCTCCAACGCCGAGCCCTAGCGCTGGCTCGCAAGGCCCCGTGGACCCAGGTATTGATTATCTGCAGCACGCAATTCCTGAAGGACAAAACGGAGCTGTGCTCACAGCCACAGGGCAGGACGCTGTAAACATTTTACAGTGGTACTCTTATTCTACATCATGTTTTTGGCTGGGGTTTCTAATGCGGTGCTGCTTCCACACCAGAGATCTTTTGTTCTACGAACCCAGCGAATTTTACAGTAAAATTAGCAATGAAACAAGCCCCCCAACTCTGGTTAAAACTTCTCATTCTAGCTACGTGCTAGCATTTTGACAATCTAACTTAGAGAAATACTTTTCATACAGCAGGTCAAAGCCCTATAAGCATGATCAGGGCTTCGAATATTCTAAAGAAACAGATGGCTGCAGACTTATGCCTCCAAGTAGGAGTTTTCACTCCAAACAAAACACTGCCAGCATAATAAATAAAGCCTTCCACAGAAATGCAAGTAAAATGACAATATCTTTCTTCTCCTACTCCAGGTACAAATAGCCTTCAGTAATAACAACAATACAGCTTCATAACTTCGGGAATTTTAACACTATTAGAATGGTTAAGTTAACATCTGAATCCTAACATTCCTATCCAACACTTCAAATTTTGCATACATTTACATGAAATGGGAAAGCAGCTTAAAGGGGTATTTTAAACCAAAAGGGGTATTTTTTTTTAAACAGAAGTAGTCATTATACCAATACATTTTCTGAAGATACAAAATTTGCCTAAAACAGCACGTAGCTGTTAATCACTTAACAGCAACTGCAGATACCAAACAGCTTAAAACAAAAGGGGCAACGTAACACAATTTAAATCTTCTGTAACCAGCAGAATACAAGTAAAATTTATCAAGGTAAATTGACATTTCTCCTGCTGGACACACATCCTACGTGGCCAGCAAGCCCAGAACAGACACAAGGAGGAGATCCCAAGGAGATCCCAGTTTGCACCACTCGTCCAGCAAGCCGAGCAGACGGCTGCAGCTCAGACTGTCACAAGAAACCCCCAAGACCCTGAGCCAAGCAACCACCTCCCCCTCGAGTGTGCCAGACCCCCAGGCTGCTGTTCCAACATGACACTCAACACGAGCAGCACACCTTTAAGATGAAAAGGTCTCAAAACCGGCACTAATGATGAGTACAACGGTACAGGTACTGAAAGCACCAAAGCAAGACTTAATTACATCGAAGAGACAAAACTGTAGGAAAGGGGAAAGGAGAAAGGCTGCATTTAAGAAATAGAGATGTCAAAGAAAAAGCAAAGACGTCATCATAAATATAATTGTTTTATTCCATTAATTTCTTTGATTGGAAATAAAGAGCCACTTCACAAAAGAGCCATATTCAAACTAGACTGAATAAAAACACAGTGCAAATTCTGAGTGCAGACTGCCATCCAGCACACACAGAATCTTCAAACAAATTCTTCCTTAAGGAAAATGAAGTGTTCGGCTCTAAAAATATTGGTATGATGACAACTGACAAATCCCTTGCTATGAAAGACAAAGTTTGATGATCTAAATCTTAACCACAAACGTCTATGTTCAAAAGAAAGGTCAAATACTCTCCTAATCCTAACACACCAAGGCAACACCCAGTTAAGACGGTGTGATCTCTTCCTACCATGAAATCAACAGGATTACACAACCACGATGGCAAACATATGTCTACTAATCCACTTTGGATCATGTATGCACACACAAACTCGGCAACTCGTTGCTTCATCCTACTCAGTGGCATTTATTGCCCAGGAAACACAGTAAAATATAGAGAAAATGCAAGTGGCTGTCCATGAAGAAAATCTGGAATTTAGGATGGAAAATTTATATAGAACAAACACAACAGGGATACATCTTCAGTCATCTTGATACGCCACACTATTATTAAATTCTCAAATGAGCTTTAGGAAGAAGGATGTTCTGTTTACACTGACTAAGGCAGTATCTAGTTATCTCATATATTAAAGCCTGCACTGATTACTGAAGAAGCCAAGAGGCACATGAATATGCAACAAGAACAATATTAAGCGCAGTTAAGTTCACTAGTGATAAAAACTGAGAAAACAGTTTACCTAAACAAAGGGCTCTAACAAAGTAGTCAACTATAATAAATGTGTCATCAGCCATTTTGCTGGAAATACTGGCACCACAAGTTTTAGCACAGAGTTTGCCCATTTTGGCAAAGACACAAAACACCAAAGTATGTAAAACACTTCCCAGGTAGGTAAACTTGTAGAGTAATATGTGGTCTGCTGACTTACTTTAGAACAGTTACATGATACATTTGTTGGTACGGAAGAGTTTCTCACCTGCCAGTAACAAACTGTAATAGCAGTACTCTTTCCTCCTGAGTTAGTTCTTCCACAACATCCCAGAACCACTAAATGAAAAATAAGTTAGTTGGCATTTTCCATTGAACACTCAAAGTGCTTGAAAAATATAACAGTGAAACAACAAATGGAGGATCTGTGTTTGTTACTTAATTATAAACATTTTCACATCAAACTCATAGAACATTAAGTCAGTTAATATAGAACAAGGGTATAAAAAACGTTCATAGACTTCAGTGACACAAGCTTTCACAAGAACAAATAACATAAACCTCACAACTTTCCACAGTTTAACATGCAATAACGTCCTTTAACCGAAAAAAATTTTACCTGAATAACCTGATCTCCTCTCTCATAGCCACTGGTGTATTCTGTATTTTTTAACCAATCATTTACATCAATTTCTGGCATTCCAGACAATAAAAGCTCCTTCAGAAAAACGAACAAACAACACAAATCCTGATTAGTCTTCATGGGAAAAGTCTAACTTCAAGTGCTTACTTCTATTTTTTTAAAAATCAATGTGTATAAAGACTAAAACGCTTTTTCTTCAGCTGTACAGAACCACATATTGTTACAAGACCTAGGACTAGAATTTAAATATAAAAATATTATGGAATTTAGATCACTTTAAGTGAACTGTTCAGTTTAAACACACGCACATAATCACTAGGCAGATACAAACACACCCAAACACATCCATAGATAGAAATTATGATGAAAGAAGCTGAAAAGTTGAAATAGTTCTGAATGTTAATATGACTTGCACAAAGTTTCAGTTCCTTTATTCACAAAATATCTAAATATTGGAAAAAAACTATCTGGAATTTATCCTGAGGCTCAGAAAAAGTGAAGACAATATTAAGCATCTTTTGTTTTTGAGTCTCTGTCTTCCTGAAAGAAAATATGAGTCTCTGTCTTCCTGAAAGAAAATATGAAAAGGTTTGAAGGTCACAACATTCATTTCCCAAATGGAAATTACAATGTAAGGCACCTGAATTTACCATATTCCAGGATATGGAATCATTTGATCTTACTAAGTGACTGGAATAAGCAGCAGCACTTGCTTAGATATCTTCACTGATCAGAGACACGTAAGGCAAAATCAAAATGAAAGATATAGAGTGAAAGGAATTTCAGGGTACTGAGCCTTACTTCCACATCATTACATTACTGATGAAGTGTGCTGAACAGCATCTTTCATAAGCACTACAGGCATCTTGCTTACCAGCTCATATTCATCAAAAAGCTGTATCAAAGAAGGCGGAATGAACATATGGAAGCCTTGTAAAAAGGCATTTATCTGAGGTTGAATGGCTCTTGTCATCCTAAGTTCCGTGACGAGTTGGACATACTCAGCCTGCAATGAAGGAAACGAGATTAAGATATCCAGGGTACTGCTCCATGTGTGCACACACACAAACACGGACACATAAATGCAGCTCTCAACATAGTACAGTTATAATGTGCTCATCTCCCCTCATTTTAGAGGCCCTTAACAGATTATATTATTAATATATCAAAGTTTGTAGGAATAAATCATGATAATTTTTTTGAAGAAAGTCTTGAAAACCACTGTTTTTTAAGTAGGAGGGAAAAGACAGAGAGAGAGAGAGAGACAGAGAGAGAGAGAGAGACAGAGAGAGAGAGAGAGA